GGTGGGGAGGGCTGGGCAGGGAGAAAAATGCAACAGTGAATGAATGGAAATCCAAAATATCTGTAAATGTTCATTAAAATTAACAAAAGAAAATTAAATAAAAAAAGAATATCAAGGGAAACTTAATATGTTAAAATATCCAAGTAGAATTGTTATGATGAATTATTACACAACATGTTGTTGTTATGCATCATCATGTTGAACTGACTCATAGCTGACCCTTCAGTGGGATTCAGAGGCCCTATATCACAGAGGGGAGAATGCCCATCTTTCTCTCACAGAGCTCCTGGTGGGTTTACCCAGCAGGCTTCAAAGCTCATTCCACAACATAGAAGACAATAGTACTTTTATTGTTGTTGTTATGTGCCACTGAGTCATTGATAGGTTTTTAAATATTCTTAAAGAAACTTATTCCATACAAGGAGTTGTGCTGCCAATAGAAAAGCCATAAGGTTCAAGTCCACTAGCTGCTCTGCAGGAGACATGTGGCCAGTCTCCTTTTGTGTGATTTACTGCCTCTGAAAACCTGTGAGTCAATTCTGACTTGATCACCTCACAACAATTTTCTGACTATTTTCTGAGCTCCACGGCTATTAAACATGATGCAGTTGTGTTTTACAATTCTGAGTTAATTATTACAGCAACCTTCTGAGATGTTGTTATCCTCATTTGAAAGGTAAACAAATGTAAAATTTTTTATTCCTCACTTTCCTAGTCTTTTGATCTGAAATAAGGTCACAGTTGAATAGACGTTTTTGTAACTCTAAGATTATATAACATAACTTTTGCTTTGTTTCTTCTAGGGGCCTAGGGGGTAGGGAATTTTCCTGCCAGCCCAGAGTCCCCACTTGAGTGATCTATAGGCTCTGAAGACCTGCTGGAGGATCAGCTATGAGTTGGTTCCAACTCAGGGACAACAAACTCACAGGCATCTGTGGAAATAACAGTTCTATGTGATAAGCATAATTTTAAACCTAGGTCATTTTTATAATCAATAATTTTACTTACACGAGACACTGTGGGGGCAGGGCGGGCTTGAATCAGCATTTGTGCACTTTAACCTCTTCTTTTAAGGAAATTTATGATAAATCAGCAGAATCAGCTTAATCTTTTGTTTTTTCTGGTGCAACTTGTTATTTTCTCAAAAAATAAAAACCATCTATGTATTTTTCTTTTAGGAGTTGATACAAAGTTGAAGTTCACTCTTGAGCCTTCCTTAGGTCAAAATGGTTTTCAGCAGGTAATTTTATTTTTTTGTTTATGAACATGCTTTCATTTTGTGATATCTATAGTATGTTCGTGGCATCTATAGTATACAAAATATAGTTTCAGAGTGGAAATATTCACATGGACATGCATATGAGGATGAGTCAGTTTTAAAATTATGTTGTTGTTGTTGTTATGTGCCGTCGAGTCGCCTGCGACTCATAGCGACCCTATGTACAACACCCCTAAACTCCGCTCTGTCCTGTGCCAATCGCACTGTGTCTGACACTCCCATCCCAATTATCCCAGTCACTGAATCAA